TCCTAAGGCAAAGCCAGGGCAAAAATATATTTCTAAGGTGTGACAGTGACATTTCAGGGTCCACTGACCAAAAATATATCCTTACTGCATTTCACTTGCAAAATATATTTTGGTGGTGTGACACAGACATTATAATTTTTGTGTGACATTTCAGGGTCCATGTGTCAAAAATATATTTTAGATTTCAGGGCTTTCTAGGACCCATATATATCTAGAATATAGATATGGTCCATGACATTTAGTCATGTAACTTACGTGGAGTTTGCATGACTAATAGTCAGTTGGCACTGGGTGACTGAAGTGGTTTACTGACAAACTACAAAAGACTACAGGTTGGACCTAGACTACAAAGTTTGCTGACAGACTATAAAAGACTACAAAAGTTGAACTTAGACTACAAAGTTTAATCATAGACTACAAAAGACTACAAAAGTTGGACTTAGACTAAAAACCTTGGGCTTAGACTATAAAGTTAGAGTTAGAGTTAAAAGGTCATCCAAAGTCAGCCTAACCCATCCATCCCATTCATGGCACATATTTGATGGGGAAATGGCTGGGGTATGTTGTGGTAGACTACAAAAGCTTAAAGTGTCCACTTGTTGAGACTACAAAAGTTTGTATTGTGTGCTTTTTCATTACAAAAGTTTAAAGTGTCTGCTTTTTGAGACTACAAAAGTTTGTAGGGTGTGCGCTTTTTCACTACAAAAGTTTGTAGTGTCCGCTTTTTGGGACTACAAGAGTTTGTAGTTCACTTTAGTTTGTAGTGTCCTTGACTATGTGTAGATTATTGGGGATATGGTTGAAGGATTGACATGATCTCACATATTGCCATTGCTGCAGCATTAGTTTTTGACATGATGCACAAGTTGTCTTTCACATCAGAAAAGGCAATTCTGTGCCTTCCTATTGATACCTACTATCTCAAAATACAGTTATATGTTCTTGGCGATATGGTTGAAGGACTGACATGACATGACTTCACATATTGCTATTGCCATGTCATTTGTTTTGGACATCATGCCGAAGGTGGCTTTCATGTCAGTAAACTTTGCAATCTAAGTCCAACTTCTGTAGTCTTTTGTAGTTTGTCAGTAAACTTTGTAGTCTAAGTCTGACTTTTGTAGTCTTTTGTAGTTTGTCAGTAAACTTTGTAGTCTAAGTCTGACTTTTGTAGTCTTTTGTAGTCTATCAGTAAACTTTGTAGTCTATGTCTAACTTTTTGTGTTGTAGTCTTTTGTAGTTTGTTGGTAAACTTTGTAGTCTGTCAGTGTCAGTTTCCCTTTTAAGGCATGCACCTTCCTTTTTTGGTCATTTTTCCCACAATACAATAATTGTAGCCCTTTCTTTTAGCTTTCTAAATGTGTTGAAATCATGTTGTTTG